GCCTCCAGGACTGCACTATCTGAGGTCGTGAAGTTTTCAATTGCCGAAGTGAGAAGGGAAGGAGTGAAGAGGTCGTGTCGGAGATGAGCGTGGGCGTTGCGGGCGCTGGGGGGGGCGACGCTTCTGACAGAGCTCAGTCGTAGTCGAGATGGTTGACGTTGACGATGCGGTGGTTTTCGCCGCCTCGCTAATTGCAATCGACGGGCCCCTGATTGGCTCTTCAGGACCGAGACAGACGTGAGAGAAGTGCCTGGTGGCTTATGTAAGAGGATCTAGGTAAGGAGACTTAGGTAAGCAGATTTGAGTTGACGAAGCGGAAGTTACGAGCCATAGACAAAAAAGCGGCAATGTCTCATTCGCTCCCAGAACTCGCTGCTGTTCGGTGAGCATAGCCATTCGCTCAGAATGTCATGATGATCTGCATCTCCCAACAGAACCCAATACAAGAGTTGATCAATTGTCCGAAATGTCAAGATCCAGGGTGCGATCCCTCGGACATAGGCTCCGTGGTCTATCGCTGACCAATCCCCCCCCCTCTTGCGTGAGCGCGCTCGTCATCGCCCGACCCTCCGAACTTGTTCCGACGTGAACAGGAGCAGCTTGATCACTTCATTCAAGTCCAGCGATGCGTATCTTTGCATTCACTCCAAGCCTGCGAAAACCATCATGACTGTAGACAAGAGTGCCACTAGTAGCCTTGCGGCGAGTGCCGCCGATGACGAAGAGACCGTCGCCACAGAGACAACAACGCTCTTGAACTCGGAGACGAGCTCCGGCACCCTGTCCGATGGCTCGGCATCACGTCCCCGGCCGCGACGGGACTCTGATGCTGATTCCAACGCCCCCAAGCAGTCCGTCGGCACCGCAAGGGCCGTAGCTATCATCTTCAGCACATGGGTGTTGATCTTCCTTACAGGTATGATGACTATGGCGGATGGTGTAAGGCCCCCCCTGTTGCCAGCCTTCCACTGACCCAGACAAGCATCCAACATGTCCGGCATCACCATGGCCCAATCTGCCATTGCCGAAGACTTGCAAGCCTATGAAGAGGCTCTGTGGTTTACGAGCTCATATCTCATTTCCACGTCGGCAATGTCCCCGCTCATCGGCCGATTGGCCACCATCTTCTCGCCCCGCGTCCTCGTGTTGCCCACTGGCCTATTCTTCGCTGCTGGAGGCGCCGTGACGGCTACAGCTCACTCATTTGGCGTCTTCATCCTTGGCCGAGTTCTGACCGGAATAGGCGGAGCTGGCATCACCAATCTCGCCATCATCCTCGTGCTGGAGCTGACCAGCAAAACGAAAGCGTGGCATCTTCGTTGGCCTGGTAAATTGCGGCTTCACGATTGGCCTCTCATCCGGTGCAGTGGTGTACGGGGCTCTACTGCCTGCAGTTGGCTGGGTATGTTATGAACAAGCTCCATCAATGTGTGTATACCGCTTCAGTGGATCTGACTTGGATGCAGAGGTTGCTTTTCGGTATTCAAGCGCCTATCGCCCTCGCCGCTGGACTTGGAGTCTTTCTCAGCCTTCCTAGCTCGTTCAAGTCGGGTCACAAATCGTCTGAGAAGCCGGTCAGAGAAAAGCTGGCACGGATTGACTATGCAGGTGCTCTTGTCCTGGTAAGACGCTCTTGATCTCCAGAATGCCAGCTCGAACTCCTCAAGAGGCTTACCAGTCTAGATGCTCACTATAGTGCTATTCTTGGTCGGCCTCTCCGGAGAGATCAAATGGGTGCCCATCCTACTCTCCGTGGCGGGTGCTGCGGTCTTCGTCCTCATTGAAGTCTATGTTGCCGTCGACCCTGTCATCCCTCTGTCGATTCTCTCATCTCGGGGCGTCTTCTTCTCCTGCATTGCGCGTAAGTAGTACTTCATAGGGCCGCAAAGCTCCCCGCTAACCCTGGCAGAACTTCTTTTCATGGCCTCCCGCTGGACCGTCCTCTTCTACTCACCCATATTCTTTCTGGCCGTACGAGGCTACGCCCCGGCCGTTGCCGGATCGATCCTCATTCCCACCAACCTCGGCTTTGGCTCTGGCGGCCTCATAGTCGGGTGGCTCCACGTCCGCCGCAACGGCGCTTTCTGGCTCCCCTCTATCATCGGTCTCGCCCTCTTTGGCACGTCCCTCTTCATCCTCTCCCTTGTGAGCGCTCCGGATTCCTCAGTATGGCTATTTGTCCTCGTCGTCTTTGCCAATGGCCTTGCCACTGGCGCTTCTCTCAACTACACCCTGGCACACATGTTGCACCTCAGCCGGCCGGAAGAGCACTTCATCTCCGCGAGCCTGTTGGGCACGTTCCGAGGGTTCGGTGGTAGCTTCGGCACGGCCATCGGCGGGGGCGTATTCTACCGACTACTGCATGGAGGTTTATTGGCGGGCTTCTCCCAGCTTGACGGCGGACTTACAAAGGAGCGACGCGCATTGGTGACCAAGTTGATGGGCAGCCCGGCGCTCGTGTTCAACGGTGACCTTAGGGATGCGGAGCAGGGAGTCGCTGTCGAGGGATATGCAAATGCTTCCCGAGGCACATGGGCAGCCGCTGCGATCTTGGCCATCTTCATTGTCGCTCTCCAGGCTGCCTCAGGGTGGGACAAGCCGGCAGAGAAGATTGATGAGGAAGAAGAGGTCAACGAGCGAGCGAACTTGCTGCAAAATGAGGGCGTTGTGGAGGCATGAGATGCATCCACATCCAGTCTTCGAGCACGAGACACTCTGTCGTCACCCCGTCTTAGGTCTCGATTTACTGACGCCCCTTCTCTATCAAATCAGGGGCGGATCATTTGACATGTTCTACTCACATGTCCACGGCTTTAGCATAGGGCTTGCTTCATTGCACTATTGTGTTGACGTTCTATCTCCGTACGCATCCAACGTTGAGCGATTGTTACATGCTCCCATTGCACTAGCTCCAGTGCCCCGTCACCCTCTTACTGTAGGTCCCAGCAGTTCGCCTACGAGTACATCAGTATTCAAGCCCTTCCATAAGACATGCGTAGATCAAGCTGCAACTTACATTTACGAGAACATTCTGCCCGTCCGTGATGTCCCTTGTCGAGAAAATGCGACTGTCCAGGCGGCCTGGCAATGCGGGCATGAACACATGTGGAATGACAGGACGTCCCGCCTGGCCACCCCGACACGGAACCATTTCCCCCAACGCTGCTCGGGGAACGCTATCTCCGGTGCCAGCGTCGCCTTTCAGTCTCTGCCCCGTGTTTATGAGATAATTCTTCACGTTCATGGCAACCTGTCCGTTGCCGCCAGCACGAAGCTGCGGGCCAATGACTGGGTGCGAGAGCAGATACGCGGCCATGCCAGCCGTGATGGCCGTTGCAGGAGAGGTGCCCGATTGATGTTTCCACGTCTGACCACTTTCACCGGCCTCATTTGATGAGCTTTCGGTCCCGGCGCAGTCGACATCGGTGCCGATATTGTACAGACTCAGGATGCCCTTCCCTCGCACGTCGACGTACTGGGATTTCAAGTTTCGTGATCCGTCGTACCGTGCGTTGCCCACCACGATAAGTCCCGAGTTACGTCCACCGGCAGCCCGCGGCGTGCTGTAAGACAGGTCTCTGAGATATTCGTCTTCGTTCAAGGCGTCGTTCCCAGCAGAGGCGACTGCCACGATGCCCTGTGCCATCAACTCGGGCAGATACACCTGGTAAGGGTCGGTGTACTTTATGACCGGCGTGCCCTGGGTTCTGGGATCCTCCCACCAGAGGCTCGCGACGGGCATGCTGAACGACATGGAGATGACGGACCTGCCGAAGAGGTTGTTGTCGTGAACATATCGCTGAATGGACAAGAGGGCAAAGATCGTTCTGGATACCGTGCACTTGTGGGCTTGGTTTTCAAGGTGCATCAGCTGCACCAAGACAATGTTGGCACGCTTGGCAACCCCCGAGTATGCGCCAGCAGCAAGCGATACCATGCAGGTGCCGTGGCCGTTTCCGAAATAGTATACGTCCTCTTGTGTTTCGCCGTCGGGGGACATGGACCACGCGCCGACGACTCGGTCTTTGAAGTCCTTGAGAAATGTTAGCTCTCTGTATGTGTTCTGTGTTTGGGGGGGGGGGTGGGGGGGGTCGATCAGCGGAATCACCCCCGCCACCAGTCAGGCTTCATGTATCCTCAAGTTGCAAACTGACCACGTGTGTTGTGAAGAAGTTCTGGTCGATCACAAAGACCGTAGACTCCTCGTTGTCTCTGGTTGCGGCGTCTTCAAAAATGAACTCTTCGAAGTCAAGGTATGAGCCCTGAAGCTGGGTGTATCGGGATAGTTGGGTGAGCCAATTCAGGTGCCCCGGGCTATCGGGAGTTTGCTGTTTGAACCTGCTGTTTGGGCCAGGCGTTGAGCGCGGCTGAAGCGGTGCTGCAGCTGTACGAGACAGAGTGTCTGTCGTGTTTGTGTTTGAATCGGTAGCGCGCTTGCCAGGAGTTTTGGTAGCTGACGAGCTGGAGTCTAGACCAAAGTCCTCTACTGTGACTTCAGCGTCGATGCTCATGGACAGCACGATGGGGTTCTCCCACAGGGCCTCGGCCGTACATTGGTCTAGTGTAGCAATGTAAATCCACTACTCAAAATCGATCAGTTGATAGAGACCCCTAAGAATACGCTACGAACGGCAAGCATGAAAGAAGCCGTCTGGTACAAGCAGGGCTTCGGTACTGTGCATCGGGCACGAAATGTGGAAGAACCTACGTTGGAAAGCCAGCTGTTCGTCTTTTGAATATTGGCCTCGTTCTTGGGCAAGCTGCGGACAAGCTCGTCGTACTGGTCCTTAGAAGTGCCCTTCTGGGTCACAATGATTATGGGAGTCTGCGTCGCATTCATGGTACAAGTTGAACTGCTGGTGCTGGTCGTAACCGTTGGTGTTGCGGTCGGTTTGGGGGGGCCATTGGGTGAGCCACCTCCCGGGCTGCCGATCAAGACTGCAAGGACAGCGGCTAGAGAGGCGACTAGAAGTCTTCAGTACAGGGAAAAGGGACGTAGGCACTATCCGAGGAAGGTTCAAGAATAACGGATCTGGGGTAGCAACTTACAGATGCCAGTGGCTACTCTTCCGGCAACAGCAGCAATACCAATCTTGTCAATCTATGCCAAACCGTACATCAGCAACAGTATCTGAGCAGTGACATAACATAACGTCCAGTGCTTTCGTACCGCAATGGAGGCAACGTCAAGGTGAGCGGTCACATCAATATTCGGCAAAATGTCCATCTCCAGAGCAGGCTCGGCCTGTGCGCTGTCAGCAGCAGCAGCGTCCACAGGCCTTTGGAAAGATTCTATGCTGCTTTGAACTATTGCCTCGTATTAGTGTTTGCGCAAGCTAGACCTGTCGCATCTACCTCACCTGCTGCCTCTAGAGCATTGGCTGTCTCCTCATCAACCTGCACACCGCTGCGTCAGGATCCATATACCCAAATTTCAAACATCCAGAAGGCCACTTGCACAACGGGGGGGATTGACTGACCCGTGTAGGACCGGCGATAGTTATGTCGTAGCGTCTGGCTATCTTGAAACCTCTGATAATCTTAGGTGCGAACGGTTCTGCACTGGTGAGCTCATGGCTTTTGCAGTCCAACATTTTCTCGGGGACCAGGGACACCCTGGGATAGCCCTGATGCATTCTGGTCACTTACTGATACTGGCTTGAATTCTGTTGAGATTTTTGGAGCCTCCTACTAGGCGCTCCAGAATCTTCCTCTGTCGCTCTGTGAGAGGGATCCTCGCGACGAGTCTTGGATTATCATTGGCTCGTCGAACCTTGGACGAAGCTTGTCGAATTTCTTGATACTCCTCAAGGTCTTCTTTGTACTGAGCGACAGCGGATCTTGCCTCTTTCAAAGTCTCGTTGTATGCTTTCAAGTCTTCGACGAGCTGCTGAATAGTCGGCATGGACCATGTCTCATCCTGGTATACTTGGACTCGGTTACCGTCACCGCACAGCTGCTCAGCATCTCCTGCACAGCCTTTATTGCAATCTCTTTGAGGAGCATCCTCAGCATTATGGAGCGTGTTTCCGACAAAACACCCGCTTGTTGATGACCGAGTCAGCTTCTCTGCTGACGACAACGATAAGGCGGTGTGTTGGAGATCCTACCTGCCGAATTCAACACCTGCGTATTGCCAGTTGTTGTTCCGAGCAAACTCTATGCATTTTCTGACAGTCATACCTGTATTGCTGGCATCGACAGTACTGTCCGCCTTCAGAACGCGCTGTTCCAGGTTCGCATCGTAGAAACAACCTTTGTTGACAAAGTTGTCGATGCGAGGCACTAGTGTTGGTAAGGTTGGGGTCGTAGTTGGCGAAACCGACACAATACTTGTTGTAGAGCTCGCAGATGTCGTGATCTCTCTGTCTGTTGCCGTAACAGGAGGCTTGGCACTTGTCGTGGCTCGGGTCGTACTCGACTTGACCTCACCTGAGCCGCCAACGCAGCCACCCTTGTTGCACTTCTTGCCTGGCGAGCAAACGTTGCAAAGTTCGCCGAGAACACATTTCACACTCTCATAGTCGCAGCAAATTGCACCTGAGACGTAACAGTGCCG